TTTCTTTTACTTATCCAATAATGGATGGGCCATATATGCCTCTAGGTCGATTGCCACAAGGTTTCACCTTAGCCAAGAGTCATGTTGATGTTGATATGAGCTTCATTCCTCGAAAATGTTTCAATAGTAGAATTGCATTTTCTATTTTGTTTGATAATTTTTGACATAACATAAAAATATGATTCAAAATTGAAACGAATTAACGGATTAGGATTAATTATTTTTTGACACGAGATCTGTATATGACACGACCCATTAGTACAAATAATAAATAGGTTAAGTTAATGTCAAATACGAATAACATGAAATTAACATGTGTTAAGTAATATTATAAAAATAAAATATCAATTTTTTAATTCTTGTAAAAAAAATATGAGTATAAATTCGATTAAGTAATAATAAAATTTTAGACATAAAATTGAGCGATAAATTTTTTGTATTTTCTGCTTGATTTTGCTATTTATTTGTGATCTCATAACAAGCTAGTTCCAAGTGAGTTAGGTATCTGTCGGCCATGTCTCTTTAGGAAGGGTTTCCATCCACTAATGGATTAGATTCATTTGGATGTTGAGTGTACCAAAACCATCTTAAATGGATGATCTCATCTAAGTTGTTTAAATTGAGCATAATTAATTCCAATAGTTATTTTTTGGATAATAAAAATTAGACGTATCAAATTCACGTGATCTCTACTTTGTTAAAAAAATATAATTACCCTTGCACATATTTTTCCCTTTTTACCAAATATCCATACTTTCCTAAGCAAACCCATAACCGCATATACTCAAAAACCCTTCCATATTTCCCGATCTCGGATGTTAACTCTCATTCTCTTCCCCCTTCTGGCAAAAATTCTCTCATCCCTCTGATGAGGCAGAGACAAAGGTGAAGGTGAAGATGAATATGGTGTTTGGTAGTGTGTTGGTATTGGTCTAAATTGATATAATTTTTATCTTGACTTTTTTGTTTTCTTATTTTTTAGAGATAAAATTGGTATATTAAGAAAAAATATAAAAAATAATGTACAAGGCAGAGGGTGTAATGATTCTTCCAAAAATGTTCAATCATTGTTGTTAGTCAATTTAATCTACTTGAAACTTTAGGGGGGGTAAATTACAAACATTTGAAATTACAAGAAACTAATTGCAACAAGAGACATAATTAAAGAGAACAAATTGTAATTAACCCTTAGAAATATGCTTGTTTGAGGGTAATGGAGCTAGTTGACAAGATATCATCATCAATAAACATTCCCCTTGTAGTCACAAAAGCATATGCATGTTCAACTATAGTACTAAAAAAATATTTTTATTATTTTATTCACTTTATTATTTCTATGTCGACAATTACAAACAAATAAGATCTAAATCAAAAAATTTCTATGTCGAACCTCTTGGATACCATAATATTGTCTGTATCAAACACACCGTATAATTAAATGTATGTATTTGATACCTTGATGATTGTACAACATTTTTAGACTCGTGTTATAGACATTTCACCATTTATTTGACCTATTTAGAAAGTAAGAAGTCATTTTGATATCTCTTCATCGACAAATAATTTTCGAGATAAAAAAATTCACGACATGACTTGTAAAGATAACTTTTACCACTCTAGTTGTTACCATTCTTTTGGAACGAAAAGCAGACAAGGGTTATTATAGATTACATGGCTTTCATGTCATGAGTGTTAATAACTCTCATACCAATTATAACGTCCTGTCGTGTAATATTGCTTGTTTTGGTTTAGCCTTATGATATCTTAAAACGCATTATTAATCTAATTCATTATAATTCTTGAATTAATTGTGGGTTTCATTAAATATTAAAATTTGATATTAATTTAATGATTATAATGTAATCACTTTATTAAATCAATAAATTAAATTAAATGTTTAGGTTTAGGGATATGTTCTAAACCAGCTTTAAGTTACAATGATCAGCCGCTGAACTCGAGAGTAGTCGACGAAAATTTGGACACCTTGTAGCAAAAAAAAAAAAAAAAAAACATTACTGTTTAGTGGAAAGCATTCATAGAAACAATGAATTTCAAACCCACCGTGTCCTTTCAAATAATAATAATAATAAAAAAACATTATCCTATTCATCATTCAATTGAACTTCGCTCTTCTGAAAATAGAGCAAGCTCCATCAACTTTCCTAATCCATTTGTCAATTCCATCATAAATACACAAGATTTTTTTGGATACCCTCTTGTTTTTATTATTATTTTTATATTTTTCATCCCCCAAGCTTATGGTAGTATCTGTATAATCCCATCATATTTTGTCCTCCTCCTCTCTCAAGATGAGCCATTCAGCTACACCTTAGCATATCTGTAGTTTCAGACTTCTATGAAGTTTATATAAACAAGTGAAAGCAAAGATATCGATGGATACCATTCCGTGAGGTGACGATAGATGTGTCTTAGTATCGATACTTCCAACTTGAACCATGAAATTCATTTCATGCATGGAAACAAGAATATCATCAAACCAGTCTGTCCTTTCAAAAAAAGAAGATTACTAGTACCCTGTCTTTCAATTCCTTCCTTCTCTTTGACTTCATTTTATACCTTAAAATTTTCATAGAAGCTCCCCAAGATTCTGGTAATTTCTCTGTAACTCCATCATATTTTGTTACTATTTCTTCAAGATAAGACATTCAGCTACTCCTCAGATCTTCTGCTTCAAACTTCTGTGAAATCTATAAAAAGAAGTATGCAGAAAGTTTGGATGTATGAAGAGTATGGTTCCAAGGAAGTGCTCAAGCTAGGAGACTTGGCAATTCCTACTCCCAAACAGTACCAATTGCTTGTCCAAGTTAAAGCATCTGCTTTAAATCCTATTGATTTCAAGCTGCGCCAACAACCCATTGTTCCTATAGATTTCCCTGTAAGTCTAAAAAACTCAGAAATATTAGCATTCAATAATTCTTTGGTCCTTGTTGCCTGTACCCTTTAGCTACAAGTCGAGCATGTTGCTTTGATCAACCCTTATTACACACGTCAAGAAGTCTTTAATCGTGCTTTGTCACAGGCATCAGTTAATGTCGGATTTGTTGAATTAACATGAAAAAGCTTCATTTATATAAGTTCCTCCTAGTAATACAATTATGCGTGCAAGCGAACATGATGTTAATGTTGACACAGGTGATCCCGGGATGCGATATGGCCGGAGTTGTGGTGGTGAAAGGAGGCGACGTATCGAGATTTGACATCGGAGATGAGGTGTATGGGAACATACAAGATTTCACTGCAGAAGGGAAGATGAGGCAGCTTGGGACACTGGCAGAATTCATTGTTGTAGAGGAAAATTTGGTGGCTGCAAAGCCGAAAAACGTTTCGTTTGAGGAAGCAGCAAGCTTGCCTTTGGCAGTTCAAACAGCAGTTGAAGGTTTCAAAATTGTGGGGTTTAGAGAGGGTCAGACTGTTTTCGTGGTTGGCGGAGCCGGTGGCGTCGGAACACTGGTTGTTCAGCTGGCTAAGCAAATGTATGGAGCTTCTGTGGTGGCGGCAACAACTAGTACTTCAAAGGTGGAGTTTGTGAAGAGCTTGGGTGCAGATAAGGTTGTTGACTACAACAAGACTAGATATGAAGAGGTTGAGGAGAAATATGATCTTGTTTATGACACAATTGGTAACTTTCTCACCCCAACTTTGCTGATTATAGCTAAGGAAACATCAACCCTTAAAATCAACGAGTTACAAATCTAAGTGTTCGAATTTTGGCAAATTTTTTAAGTCTAGGTCACGAGGGATTTATTGTTCATGAATATCTCAGTCCCGGTATGGATAGTTTGTCTTTGACCAAACCGGAGAGTAGATTAATTGATGTGCGCATAACCTAATTCGAACACCCTTGACCGTTAAACAAAAAAAAAGAAGAAGATTATAGCCTAGGAAACAAAAATGTTATGTTTGGGCGGAATTATTCGTATCAAATACATATCAAATCCGACATGTATTAGATATTCAACAATATACCAATCTGATATTTTAAGATACTTTTTGCATAATTCTCTTTTTATTTTGCCTAGAAAAATATGGCTTTGAAAGGCACAATGTTTTTCTTAAGCATTATCAAGTCAAAAGTACATAAAAATGAGTTGGTTACATCCTATCTATTGGCAATTGCTATTCCCGGCTAAACCAGCTACTAAATATTGTTTATTTTTTGAAAATTTTATTAGATTATAATAAAACGTAAAAGTATATAGGTCATACCTATATCTTATTTTTTTGGGAGAATTATACCAAGATCTCCTGAAGTTTGTCACTTAATCACTCAGACTCCATGACATTTGACATATAATACATAGACCCCTTTAAATTTGTACGTACGTAACACTTAGATCCCTACTATAAAAATATCCGTTAATAAATTGCAACCACACCCATGAAGTTTGTAAACATATATTATTTAGATTTCTTAAGTTTAAAATGTTATAGTTAGACCAAAAATATTTCAATCAAAGATAAAATATCAAATATTTTAAATTTTACGATTAAAATTTATGTTCTATTTATCTTTTATTAAAATAAAATCAAAAATAAAAATTTAATTTTTCTTAAAAAATTATAATTAGTATACAATTATATTGTCTATTAAAATTTAACTTGGTCGTTTAAATGACCAAATTAAAATACCAAATTATCCCAATTAAAACTAAAAGATATTGTGTCAATTACAGTTTGACCTCTTATTTAATTTTTTAGTTTTATTCTAATAGATAGTATAATTATATACTAATTATGATTTTTTTGTAAAAAAACTAAATTTTTATTTTTGATTTTATTTCAATAAATGACATAATAGAACATGAATTTTGGATGAAAAATTTATATTCTATTATGAATGATTTAAACCCTTTATTTGATTTTTTAGTTTTATTCTAATAGATAATAAAATTGTATATTAATTATAATTTTTTAAGAAAAAAATTAAATTTTTAATTATAATTTTATTCAATAAATGATACAATATAATATGAATTTTAGTTGTAAAATTTAAAATATTTGATATTCTATCTTTTATTGGAGTATTTTTTTGTTTAAGTATAATATTTTAAATTTAAAAGGTTTAATTATTATATACCTACAAACTTCAAGGAAGTCTAAGTGTAATTTATTAATGGATATATTTATAGTAGGGGTCTAAGTGTTACGTGCGTATAAACCTCAGGGGTCTGTGTGTAATATTTCAAATGTCAGGGAGTCTAAGTGATTAAATGACAAATCTCAAGGGTCCGGATGTAATTCTTCCTAATTTTTTTTAGATTAAGTTATATCATTGTCTCTATATTGTATCATATTAATATTTTAGGTCATATCCATGTTTTCTAGATTACGGTGAATTTCTTCAAACACTATCTCGTGACCCAACTTCACGTTGTATAATAAAATGTTTGAAGGGTTTGAAAAGTGTGAGCATTGAACTTTTATTTTACAACACATTTTAGACTATGTGCACGCATACCTCAAAATTAAGACTTTTAATCGAATTGAGCTATAAGAGCTCGGTTTAGATAGGACTCGACTTGAACTTGACTCGTGTTCCTAAAATGCCTATGTTTTTTAGATTATGGTAAATTTCTTCAAACAGCATCTTGTGACCCAACTGCACGTTGTATGATAAAATGTTTGAAGTGTTTGATAAGTGTGAGCATTGAACTTTTATTTTACAACACATCAACACATTTTAGACTGTATGCAGGCATGCCTCAATATTAGGGTTATTAATTGAACCGAACTATTTGAACTTAGCTTAGATAGGACACGACTCGAGTTTGACTCGTGTTTTAAACGAACAGAGTTTGAACAATTTTTAAGGTTCGTTTAGAAAAATGAGCCTAAAAGGCTCGACTCGGATTCGACTCAACTTGGGCTTAAGCTTACAAAGCTCAGGTCGATTACAATTAATAGCCCCACTCAAATCCAGGGCTTTACACATTATCTTTCTAAGGTTGTTTAACTAATTTCAAATATCAATTTTCTTCAATTAAAATTCACATTCAGGTGACTCCAAGAACTCATTTGTGGTAGCAAAGGAAGATGCACCAATCATTGACATAACATGGCCTCCATCAAACCCAAAAGCAGTCCATTCAAGCTTGACAGTTTCTGGGGAAATTTTAGAAAAGCTTAGCCCATACCTAGAGGCTGGAAAGCTAAAGGCAGTGATTGATCCAACAGGTCCTTATCATTTTTCTCATGTTATTCAAGCTTTTCGACACTTAGAAACTGGAAGAGCCAGAGGAAAAGTTGTCATATCTCACTTCCCTTCCCACCATCCTCCCTGTTTCAAACAGTGAATATATATGATCAGTGTATGTAATGTAAAACCTGAAATGGCTGCACAGAAAATTTAATGTGTTGGAGTTGTAAAAACACGTTAACGGTAGAAGCCTCGTAAATTTTTTCGACTCTTGGAGTTGTTGGTTTTTCGAACGTTTAAATGTTTAGCTTATAACAAAACCTTTGTGCAGAGAATAAATTGTCTTGAATAACTTCAATTAACCAAAAGCAAGAGCTATTTATGACTATGACCGACAATTGAACCGAGTTACTAGTGCTTGGTTTGTTTTTAAAACGTGTCGAGTTTGAACATTTTTTAGGCTCATTTTTCTAAAGGTTCAGACTCATTTACATATGAAATAGTTAAGTTACTCGAACTCGGCTTGAGTTCGATTTGGTTCAAGCTCAACTCGTTTTCTAAACAATAAAAACGAGCCGAGTTTGAATAATTTTTTAATCTTATTTAAAAAAATAAGACTCGGTTCTAACTTACAAAACTCGGCTCGATTACATTCGAGTGAAATACATAAGCAAGAGAACTTTGTTATAGACTCCTATCAGTTATATAAATAATCCTAAACTCAGCTCGATTACAGTCCCAATCAGATTTTTTTGAATTACTAGGGTCGAGGTATTAAAACACCAAAAATTCGGGTTTGAAATTTGAGTTAATTCGGGATGAAATCTCTTAACTCTCGTCCGAACTCATTTCATCTGATTGACAAGTTTTGGTAACTTCTAAAATTTTCCCCCTCTCAAAGGAAACATAAAAAGCCTTTGAATAGATACAATCAAAGAAGGATCAAAATTTTATTTTGCTGCATAATTTCGACCAACTTGAAAACATTTAGATAATATTTCCAAAACAAGATCGAAAATTTATTTCCGAAATATTGGTCAAAACAACCCAAACATTCCGAAATATATAAGTAAAAAAACACAAAAACACCTCAAAATACACTGAAACACCTCAAAGCATACGAATTTTAATATTAAATCAATGATACATATTGATTTCCATGAAAATGAAAACGTTTCAGATGTTTCGAAACAAAATTTAATTCCTTGCTATCAACCCAATTTGGCACCACGCTGAATAAACACTTTGTTTTTGGAATACTAAATCCAACGATCCACACAATGATTGGGATCCAGAATTTCAGTGAAGTCATTCATTGTACAGTAGTTTCAACCATGTTAACTCTCTCTTCATAGAAAAAAAAAAGAAGCAAATTACAGAAACATTAGCAAACAGTCTGTCCTCTCAAAAGTCATGAACTCAACGCAAGAGCAAACCATTTACGAATTTTCTCACATTTTAAATACAGAAAAATTGGAACTAAACTATACAGCTCAGGGTGTTAAAGGCGCAGTCAACCTCAAAAGCATACAACTCAATCGAGACAATTTCCGCAAAAAAAACCCTGTGGCGAATCTAATATTCACACTCTATGTAATGTTCTTGTTGGAACATATGTTACACCTACCAAGACAGCTGCTAATTGTGAGTTGAGCAATCAGAGTTGGTTTGAATAGGTAGCCAGCTTGGCCTTGTTGTACCAATTTCAATGAAACTTTATATGCGAGCTATTTTTCTCATGCTTCTCCGCAAACTGGAAACCCAAATGGCTTCATGTTTCATTTCATGAGGGGGCTGAGCCCGTCACCCTCCCAACCAAGCTTGAGCATCTGATCTACAACCTTCAAGCTCAACTGCAAGCAACAGGAAGAACAAGTCAAAATAAAGCAACATTTAACACATGGTGCATAGTCATTACACTGTAGCAAATAGTAACATAAAGCCTTAATATTAAAATTTTGTAGCAAAATACATTAATTTAGACCATATTTGATGAACTTCCCATTAAACATGTCTCTTGATTTTGGATAGAATAAGGAGAGATTGGATGCCATCAATTCCATCAGCGTCAAGCACATAACTTCTAACTAATGCAACTACCAACCCTAACAACACAGCTGTGATCAACTTAACAACTGTCTAACTATTACCATCACAAGTTCCCCCAAACATGTTCAGCCTATTTGCCCTTTTGAAAAGAACTTTTGCCTAGTTACCAAAATAATTCCAGGAATGGACAAAACAGAGGACAAATTTACGAATAACATCTTAAAGCGTACAACCAAAGACCAACTGGCAATGAGGCTAACAAGCCTCATATACTAGTTTAGGAGTTATTTTATTGATCTGGTACAAACTCTAACTCAAATGAAACAGGAAAGCAGAATTGAGGTTTTAAACATATGAAATGCTACTAAGGAGGCAATCAGTCAATATTCACATATTATCGAGTTAGGCGTTAAAGAAGATACTTATTCTCTCCACTTGTGCTTTCAAAATGGGGGGCAGGAACATGTTTCTTTTCTACAATTACAAGAGGCGATTACATGACCACACCAAAACTGTTAATGAGAACCTCAAATGTAGAGAAAAACGAAATCAACTTACAGCAGGATCAGTAAATATTATCAGTTGTTTATCTACAGTTGACACCAAAAGATTTGTGTGATCCTTGTTTAAAGCCATAGCGGTAATATCTTGTCCTTCTCTCAGTTTCATTGAATGGAGTACCTGCAAAAAAAAAAAAAAAAAACACTGATGTAAGTATAACATGTGGTGTGGCAGAGTACAATAACAGGAAATGAGTGGGTCTATGATTGGACTAACAACATATTACAGCAGCTAGTCTATTTTTGGCCTGTGGGAAGCATATTGTGCACCTGCTGCTCAGTAATTGTCACTCCTAACTACTTCATAAAAATGAAGCTCATAGACATGAAACTCTAGTTTGATGCACATTTCATTTTTGTATACCTTTAGAGAGGGCAACTCAAGGAGGCAAATTGAAGGCGATGGAATATCCAGTCTGTTTTCTTCATCAGAAAGATCCTCAGTGCCTGGCATTTTAGACTTTAAATGCCTGCTGTTATCAAAGGCTCCATCACTTTCTAGACATGAGTTCAATCCAATTAAAGCTTTCTGTCCATCAGCAGAAACCTCCATGCAATTAATGCTAGAGGAGAACGGGAATTGTGCCCTGGCAACCAGCGTCCCATTAAGAGTAAAAGTGCTGAGAGTATGTAGTGATTTGTTCCAAGCCATTACAATCCCATAAGATGAAAGGCAGACTGCATGAGCCTCCACACCAACCAACCTTCTGATCAAGCGTCCCCTTCTGATTGAATGCAGCAAAACATCTGATGAGTGGGAGCATGAGACAACAATTCCAAGATCTGAACTGACACAACAGCTAATTATTTCTGCATGATGGCCCCGGAGGAAATGTATGGGACCTTCAATACGGCGCCTCCTGCTCTTGTCTGCCAAATTGTTAGCTAGAGCATTGCTTCCACTAGAAGTTGGCGTGCCTGGGTCTGTGGAAAGCTCTGACATGCTGCTAGAGCGGGAAGTTGATGTCCGATGTATCCTCCAGAGTAGAACTGTTGCATCTCGGGATCCTGTCACAAGGTAGTTGCCATCTGTAGACTGACCCAGGCATGTGACTGGAGCACAATGTCCTCTCGCTATTTCCAAGGTTTTTGCTCCATCTGCTGATATCAGCCTGACACTGTTATCCACGTGGCCACCTAGTTACAGGCCCAAAGTTTGAAGTGAGATAGAAGTTCACCAAATAACATGCTATTTTTAACTGGAGAAACTTCAAATGAGATTTTATTCTTGAAAGATCCTAAGCTGTGAACATAGAGCTTTATTGTTAACAATTCTAATCTGCATTCTTAGGATCACTGATATGTATATCGTTGCATATCCATTGAGACCCCATCTTTTCTCAAGTGCCTTTCTTGTCCATTCTTAGAATTGCTAGTAAGATTTGTCCTTCAACGTACTCCTTAAAACCTATGGTTTTCTCAATATGTTTTATTATTTTATTTACCAGACCCTTGGTGCCAAGCAGTGATTACAAAAAATTCATTCAGGTTTGTGTTCAGTGACTTCCTTCAAAAGCTAAATGTCTGTTTTATTGTCTTTTGCCTTCTCAGAATTTAATTTTTTATTTTTCTCCGTTGCCCGTGATTCCCCTCCTAGTTTTCAGTCTTTGGGTGAATCCAAAGTCTCTCTCCTCTCTGAGTAGAGATATGGGTGCTTTTACATTCATTTCCCCCCACTCATCTTTCAGTAGAATATCTTCCATTTCTCTCTCTCTCTCTATATATATATGTATATCTGTGTGTGTGTGGACAAATATCGGTTGATCTATATGGGCAAATATCAGTTGATTGAAACTCTCTCTCTCAGCCCATATATGTGTCTCTGGAGAAATATTGGTAATGGATATTTCTCTCTCTCAGCCCATATATGTGTCTCTGGAGAAATATTGGTAACGGGTATTTCTCTCTCTCAGCCCATATATGTGTGTCTGTGGAGAAATACCGGCTGATCGATATTCTCTCTCTCACACACCTACACACACATTCTCTCTCCCTCTCTCAATACATATATTCTGACTACATTCTATCTGTATATCTTTAAGTACTATACAAGTTGTTCAACACTACCCTACAAGTTTCTTCCCCTCCCCCCACCCCCCCTTCCCTCCCTCCCTTCCAAAAAAAAAAAACAGAAAAGAAAAAAGAACAGTTTCTGGCCTTTACTCTTGGTAACTGATATGCATCTTGTAAATTCCTTTTCTATTACCAGCACATACATGTTTCTATAGTCCTTCTTACTGCATTCATTATTATATCAGATGTCTTCAGTTGTACAATGTTTGTTGTCGTTCAACTCACTCCTGAAATACATTGTATCCCACAAAAGTTTATTTCATCAGTATCCTTATTTGTTTTATGCCCTTGTTCATATTTTTCCCATCACGCTGAGTTAAAATAAGAAAAATGCCAGGAAGCCTTTAAGCAAATCTCCTCCTTGAGTGCCCTGCAACATATGTCTAAAGATTTTTTGGCTTTTTTTCCCCCTTGATAATGGCACAATAAGGAGGATAATATATCCCCAAAGAAGTGAAAGAGCAAAATAAAATAAAAAAGAAACGAAACTAAAGCGAACCGCTATCCAATCCCTGAAAATTTCCACCAAGGCAACCTTTGAAAATTCTAGAGGGTATGGTCCACAAAGAAGTGAGGAAAAACAATTGCAGCATTCAGAATTTGGATGTGGTTAATTCCATCTGTCACGTAATAGAATTTAACTCACTTTTGCAGACTTCAAAATATAAAGAGCATGTAGAATGGCCAGTTAACCTGTCCTGGATTACAAATTAGCCATTAAAAGCGGCTAATACAAGAACTGATGAATCCAGGCTTGAGCCTTAAAAAAACATATAGTACAGCTTAAATGTGAAACATTCAAACCTTTTTTTTTAAATCTAAAAAAAAAAATCGAACTATTCATCGATTAAGCACAAAATCAACCATTTAAAACAGAAACAAGTCACTAATCTGCAATAAACCCAGCTCAGAACCTCATATATGTCTTCACACAAACACATATATGGGTAATCAATCGAATAAGTCAATCGGGCCAAATTGCTTACCAAACACTTTTTGAAGCTCGGAGAGAGAGAGAGAGAGAGAGTTTTGCTGTTTTGCCTGTTCTACTGGATTTGGAGGTTAAAAGTTTCGCTTGGAGAGGTTTTTTTTTTTTTTTTGTTTCTCCCATTTTTCTTTTTGTAATTAGCAAAACCTGAGCGGCAAGAAAGAAAAATAGATCATATTGATTCAGTGGGCCAAAGCATGAAAAGCGTTTGAAATCAATTTCTGTTCAGGCCCAAAAGTAATGCCCAATTGTCCTTTGAATTGCAGTATTGCACCATATAACAAAAAGGGTAAATTACATCTATCTCCCTTGAAGTTTTATCAAATAACAACCAGACCTTCTCTTGTTTGAGAAATAACACTGACTTCCCCTATTAGTGATGGTCGTTCTATCTTCCAAACAGCACGAAAATGACTGTAATCTAGAGGAGGTCCACAGGCCAAAAAAGAAGTAGTGGAGGTCCAGGAAATTCAGGGTGCTAAGATGGTAGGCTGGGTATTATAAATAGGTACCACACCATATTATATATTTACAAGGGTTCGTAAGTTGAAATAATCTGCCTTCTTGGTAATCAAATGGGGCATAAAGACGTTTTCAGAAATAGGATCATAGCAAAAACAAGAAAGTTTTTAACAAAACTACCAAGTATTTTCCAGGAAATGTCAGAACTCTGTTTGCATTGTCTATCTATATTCATATTTGAACAATTTTTGACTCGCGCTGATAAACATATGAATTAAGGCATTCAGTACTACATACTATATCCCATTGTTCTACACTTCTTGTATGGCTTTTATCGGTTTCCTGCATTTTTCTCCGGTAACTGTGGAAGCATTAGTTCAAGCATGGAATGATTAGAATTATACTGACGCATGGGCTCCCTTGACACCATGAATGAGTTTGACCATAATAAATGAACTTTGATAAACTTCATTCACAAAATTTATTGCATCAAAGCAGTCTCTGTTGCAAGGAAAACTTAATTTAAACAAGTAAATAGATTAAGATCAGTTAACTGATGTAGCTAACTCTTGAAAAAAACACTTACCAGTAATAATTTCCTTGTCACATGTGATGGAAACCACATCTGAGCTTCTGATTCCAGAGGTTGGAAATGCAAGTGCTTGGGGAAAATGCCAATCCTCTGACCCAGAGCCAGTCGGCCCTTTGAACATACGCATGAATGTTCCACCAGTAGAGCCTGCACTAGCCTTTCCATGTTGAAAAAGGAAAGGCATACCCTGGCCGTCGGGTGTATTTGGCTGCCATTTGTGCTGCGCTATGTGTGCTGCTGGAGCATTTATGTCCACAATAATGAGAAAATCTGAAGATGCATGAATGGCAGCAGCCGGGAGATTGCAGCGTTCCGGAGAGGGAACAATATATGGTTTAACTTCTTTGGGGTTCCGAAAGATGGTCTGCCAGCCATGAATTTTATTTAGATTATTCAGTTAGTTACATGCTGACATAACAAAATACTTTTACTGAAAGTTAGTGACAGACAAAAATGGTCCTCAGCCCATGTAAGGAGTTCACAATTTCCCAAGGAGTCTAGGCCAAAGAAGCTAAAGTGCATGCTGCTTAGCACGACAATCAGTAACAAATGCTTGAAGTCACAAAAAAGATACCAAACCAGTAAGTTAACACAAGGAAACATAATCATGTATTGTCCCCTCTGGTGTTGTAGCCACGTACATTACCACACCATACTGCCACAAAAAATGCCACGGAATACTAAAATTATGCGGGCATCCAATTGAAAATTTTCAGTGCCCCTTCTCATGGTCCCTAATTGTACGCTGAAATGATGAATCTTTGACCCGAGGCAGGTAACTTCAAATGATACAACAAACTTGGACTTTTAGGACAAGTCCAGTTTTAAATATGCGAAATGTAGGGTTGGTTTTCTCACCACCAAAGAAAAAGTATTTTTTGAAGCTTTGCGAGTTTGAGACTGAATTTAGACATGGTACATGGATCAACCAACAAATCCATGAATGACTTTGCAGTTATCTATTACTTAATAAAAACCAAAATCTTACAAAGTTTAGTAAATATATATAGATCTAAGATTGGTTTACCTAAGGAAAAAATTGAAACTATCCAGCTTTTAGTAAATATTTAGAAGCAGGTTATAAAAAAAGTTTGAGGATAATGAAAATGACGAGGATGGTAATAAGGTAAAAATGTTAGATACGATGAAGATGATGAAGCCGACGATAAACGCAGTGAGGCATGCCTTTAACCTGCTTCTACTTGTAACTTCGAAGACCTTAATTGATAGCATAAAATAGGTATCTAATGCCTTTATGTATCCTTGCAAGTCTCACAAATCTATTACGTTCACAAATTATTTGCACGTGCATGCATTATGTTTAGGGTAACAGTAGCAGATTTGTACCTATCAAAATAAAAAGCAAGGATATTACAAATATGTAGCAAAAAACAAGTGCATAATGCCTTTCCTTTCAGATCAAGTCTCACAAATCTATTAGGTTCACTCCATTTCTCATTCACTGCTCTCACAGTATCCTAAGAAGTTCTTGTTCAAAACCTATGAAATACGGATATTTTGTTGAAGTCACCGTATCCGATATCAATACTTGCCGGATACTCGAAGATATGTACAGATACACCTCCAAAGTATCCAATAATAATAAAATATTTTGATATTTCACGGATACTTTTATATACAAGCGACATGTATAATTTTTTAATTTAATAGTTAACATTTCCTTTCGAATTCACATATCATACAATACATCAACAAAAATTATACTAGTTTGAAGACACATAAGTGTTCTTTAAGTATTGTCTATCATTATTTGTCAAAAGAGCATCAAATGGATTTATTACATTATAATCTTAGCAAATAGGGGTGTTCACCCTACCCTACGGGTAAGAAATATGGTCTTCCATCTTCCTACCCGATACTTTACGGAAGAATTTTTTCTTGACCTACCCTACCCGATCAAGTGTAGTATTCCTACCTAAATTTCGTCCAAATTAATCGAGTAAGAAATTGGGTGACATCACAAACAAAATCTCAGAAATCATATATTATAATTTAGATTCTTAGAAAATTATAGACAAAATCTCAGAAATCATATACAAATTCTCAAAAATCATATACTATTAAATCTCAGAAAAATAAATAATCGCACATAATATCTCAGAAAAACCACCAACAGCCCTAAGCAAAACCACCAACCATTGACGGAGTACCACTTGGGACCATCGATTTGATGAACGGGGTACCTGAGACCGTCAATTCAATGACATCGAATTGCCCCAAACAGTCAACTGAGAGAAAGATAGAGAGAGAGAGAGCACAGAGCCATAAAATCAAAAACCATAGTATTTATAGCCATAATCAACAGCCCAAAGCAACCACCAATCATTGACAGACTTGAGACCATCAATTCGAAGAAATCATTTCCTAAGACCATTGATTCGATGGCATCTGTTAAGTGTAAAGGATTAACACAATATATTGAAGAGGAACAACGAGAGGTCAAAAGCTTGACCTAACTCTCATATTATCATTGTATTTATAGTTAACTTACAATAATAATAAGAATTACACACACTACCCTACCACTATTAATAATTTACACAGACTACTCTAATACTTTTAACACTCCCCCTCAAACTGGACTATATATATCATATAATCCAAGCTTGGAATAAATCGCCGTAAGGCGTATACAGCTCAATGCCTTGGCAAACATATCTGCAAGCTGATCTTCAGATTTCACACATGGAGTTGTAATCTCCCTATCTACTATTTTGTCCTGAATAAAGTAACAATCAACCTCAATATTTTTAGTTCTCTCGTGAAATACTGGATTGATAACAATATAGATAGTTGTCTGGTTGTCACAGAACAACTGTAAAAGAGGTTGAACTGGAAACCCAATTTCCTGGATAAAGTGTAGCAGCCAAGTTAACTCACTCTTTGTCTGCGTCATTGCCCTATACTCAGCCTCAGCACTGGATCTTGCTACCACAGATTGTTTCTTACTTTTTCCTGAGACAACGTTACCTCCTAAGAAGGTACAATAACCGGTGGTTGATCTCCGATCAGAAGGAGAGTTAGCCCAATCAGTATCTGAGAAATCTTTCACTCTAAGATATCCATTAGCTCAATATATCAGTCCAAGTCTAGGAGCTCGTTTGAGATATCGCAGAATACGATTAACGGTCTCCCAATGTGGTACTCTAGGACACCCCATAAACTGACTTACTATACTGACTGCATAAGAGATATCCGGTCAAGTAATAGTTAGGTAATTGAGTTTCCCGACCAATGTGCGATATCGACCCAGATTCTCAAATAATGCACCATCATCCACCAATAGTTTCTGATTCGAATCCATAGGAACATCAATCGGTCTGCCACCTAGCAAACCTATTTTCTCTAGCATGTCAAGTACATATTTCCTCTGTGATAAACAAATACCCTGTTTAGATCGAGCCACTTCAATTTCTAAGAAATATCTGAGTTTTTCTAAATTCTTAGTATGAAATCGATCTTGTAAGAAGATTTTTAACTTGACAATCCCCTCAGAATTATTTTCAGTAATCACAATATCATCCACATAGACCACCAATAGGACATATCCAGCATCTGTCTGTCTGTGAAACACAGGATGGTCTGTCTGGCATCGAAGCAGACCAAACTCTAAAACTGCATCTAAAAACTTACCACACCATGCCCTTAGTGACTGCTTCGAACCATACAAAGATTTCTTTAACCGACATACACTCTTACCATACTCCCCCTGAGTAGTAAATCCAAGTGGCTGCTCCATGTATACCTCCTTAACCAAGTCACCATGTAGAAAGGCATTCTTGACATCTAACTGAAACAAGGGCCAATCAAGATTAGCAGTCAAAAAAATCAAGATACGAACAGAGAAAATTTTTGCAACAAGGGAGAAAGTCTCCCATAATCAACACCATAGGTCTGAGTAAAGCCCTTGGCAACAAGTCGGGCTTTGAGATGCTCTACAGAACCATCCGGGTGAAATTTAACAGTGTACACCCAACGGCAACTAACAGTTCGTTTACCAGGGGGTAAAAGAACAAGATCCCAAGTCCCATTATGATGTAAGGCATCCATCTCATCCTCCATAGCTTTCCTCTAACTTGAATTAGATAAAGTAGCTTGTAAATGCTTAGGGAAAAATATAGTAGATAATTGAGAGCTAAAACAAGAAAAGACAGGAGATAAGGCATCATATGAAACAAAATGAGCAATGGGATGATTAGTAACACACGAACGAGTACCCTTTCGAAGAGAAATAGGTAAAGAGTCAAAATTACCTGATAGGCCAAGATCAGAAGGCGGCAAGGAAAACGGTACGGACACCTCAGTCGATGGTCGAGGACGACGAGAGTATACACGAAGAGGTAAAGTAGACGGCAACACAGCGAACAGCGGAATATCTAAAGATGAGGGAGGAGATGGTGGTACAAGAGGTGACCCAAAGTCCAGATCCAAAGGCTGAGAAGGTGCTGAAAAATATGAAACAGATTCCTCAAATGTGACATCGGCACTAGTAAAATATCATCGTAAAGAAGGACTGTAGCAACGATACCCCTCCTGTGCGTAGGAATAACCAAGAAATACACATTTGGTAGCTCGAAGATCAAGTTTATCAAACCCAAGACCCAAATTGTGAACATAACAGACACATCCAAAAACCTTAGGAGTTAGGAAAAATAAGGGCTTATCAGAAAAAAAAACAGAATATGAACTTTGCCCATTTAACACAGAGGATGGCATACAATTAATTAGGTGACAAGCAGTAAGAACAACATCACTCTAAAAATAACAGAAAAATTCATCTAAAATAACAAGACACGGGTGACTTCCAACAAATGACGGTTCTTGCGTTCAGCAACACTGTTCTGTGGAAATGTGTAAACACAGGAAGTCTGATGAATAATGTCAATTTTACTAAGATAAATTGAAAAAGGATCAGATTCATATTCCCGAACATTATCAGAATGTAAAATACGTATACGACAACCATATTGAGTTTTTATTTCCTTACGAAGGGTATCAAATATAGAGAATAATTCAGACCGAGCTTTCATCAAAAACAACCAAGTCACACAAGAATAATCATCCGCAAAAGACATAAAATAAGAATATTTATTAGATAAAATATTCTTTATTGGACCCCATACATCAGAATGTACCAACTCAAATGGACTAGACACAATTATTGACTCTAGACTGAAATGACACACGATGATGCTTACTAAGTTGACAAGTTTCACAAGACAAAGACGACACACAACTGAGACTGGAAACTTGGCGCTTCAGATTCTGGAGAGAGGGATGTCCAAGACGACAATGTCATTGAAAAGGAGACAACGAGGTCTGTAGAGCTCAAGTAGGTGAATCAAAATCAAAGTAATATAGGCCACCGGCTTCATGCCCCATATCAATCTTCCTCTTTGTCTTGAGATCTTGAAAAATACAATAAGAGGGATAAAATATTACAGAACAGTTGAGAGAACAGGTAATCTTACTAATGGAAAGTAAACTAAAAGAAAACTGAGGAACAAATAACACGGATGACAGGGACATATCAGGACTCAAGAGAGTAGTCCCCAGACTTGAAACTTCAGAACAAGTACCATTAGCAAGAGTAACACTACGTGCAGAAGTAACAGACTGATAAGTAGAAAAAATATCAGACGCACCAGTCATGTGGTCAGAAGCGCCAGAGTCTATGATCTATGGACTGCGGGTGAAAGACAATAAACAATAGAAGCTGTACCTGACTGGGCAAAAGTAGCAGTAGAGGGAGATGGAACAGCCTGTTGCTGGGACAGGAACTGGGCATACTCCTCTTGACCTAGTGTAATAGTAATCGATCCAGTGTTTGATAGAACTGACCGAGGTATGGAAGCAACAACAGAGATATCATCCTGATAAGAAGCCTGATTAGCAGCACCAAAAGATTTACCATGTAAATCTCAACAAAAGTCAACAGTGTGTCCTCCACGACCACAGTGAGTACAGGAACGGGATCCATTACGACCACCCGTACGACCTCCTCGACCACCACGTCCACCTCGATGACCATCACTATAGCTACTAGAACCACAAGAGCTGAGCGATCAGTGGAGACACCATGATCAATACCTAAAGGAGTAGTTAGTGTAGCACGCTGTAAACGAGAGAAAACCTCAAGCAGTGATAGAAGACTAGAACCACCCAAAATCTGAGAACGAATAGCCCTATATTCAAGTTTCAATCCTACCAAAAACCTAACAACATTCAGGTCCTCATGTTGCTTCTGTCAAACTGTTGCATCAGTAGTAAACGGATGGTTGGCCTTTATCTCCTCACAGACTCCCCGAACATGAGAGTAATAATCCGCAAGGTTCATGGTACCCTGCTCCAACTGAAAGTACTCCTTACACACCTGATATGCACTAGTAAAATTACCTGTACCAGAATACATGGTGGCCAAGTAATCCCATATCTCCTTGGCAGTGTCAAGGACATAGTTATCAAATTGTGTATTGGAAGGCGTATCGTAAGATACAAATCGTATATCATATCGTGTATCATAAGATACAGTGTAATTTTAAATAAATAATATAAAAATATATATACCTTTGAAAAAAAGTCATACACTCATAAAAACATAACATTTCATTAATACTCCACAAGCTATTCAAATCATCAACATAATCCACTACTATTATAATGCAAAGTTCACAACCATAGTTTACTAATTCATTCTTGAAGTGCCTCCCCAATAGACATTTGCACAATGAATGCATTTCAATTTCAACTTTGATCTTTCTACTTTGTCACAATGTTCCCATGTGGGATCATTAGCAAATTTTTTAGTCATTTCTATATAAAAATAAGATGTTGATGATGCCACTATTTCACAAAATTAAAATTAATCAAGATTCAAAAAATTTTATACAAAAAAAAATAAAAAATTATTTGGCTCTGTAAATAAACTAACAGAATTTCTTACACTACACAGGTTAACTGGACTGGAGTAACTGAAGAAGGAAGAAGAAGGCTTGGTTGAAGAAGGTTGGTTCTTACACTGCACAAGGAGGTCTGATCGTCGATGAAGCTGAAGAATTATTTGGCTTGGTTATATAAAATTTATTTGGCTTGGTTACCTAGAGTAGCTGAAGAAGCTAAAATTTATTTGGCTTGCTGCCTTTGTCGATGAAGAACAGGGAGAAGAGAGAGAAGACAAAGAACAAGGAGGTCTGATCGTCGTCGTCAACAGAGAGAAGAGAGAGAGAGTCTGATCGACGTCGTCGAAGGCTCCTGTGTCTGATCAACGTCTTCGTCGTCGTCGTCACTTGTGAGGTCTGAAGATCACCCAGGCCAAAAGGGAAGACAGCGATGAGCGAATGAGAGGAAAATAGGGATTTATTTTTTTTTGTAAACCCTAGCCTTAAAACGACGTCGTCGTTTTAAGTGACAGGAATAAAAAATCAGGCTCTTTTTAGACAAAATGGCATCGTTCCATCCCAAAAAAAAAATAAATTAAATTAAACAGGTTTTGCGCGTATCGTACTGATACGTATCATATCGTAAAAACGTATCGTGTATCGGACGATACAACGCAAAAACAATACATAACTACAATCCGTACCATTTTAGGCCTGTATCGTGACGTATCGTACGACACGTATCGCATATCGTACGATACTAACAACTATGGTCAAGGTAGAGCAAAGTAGAACTAATACTAGACTCAATGTTATTCAACAGTAAGGAAATGATCTGAGCATCCTCTTGTTCCCACTGATCATATCCAAGAGTAGTTTCCTCGGGTTTAGGATTCACCAAATATTTCTTGAATCCTTTACCACGAAGAAAGACTTGAACAGACCGGAACCATAAAGTATAATTGGGCCCATTAAGTTTAACGGAGGTCATGGGACCATTGATAATAGTCGGAAGGATAGAGGTGGGTGGTAAAGCTGAAGTAAGGGACCCAGTATTCTGCTTGGGTTCCATAGCAGTGCAACAAATAGCAAACAAGGGGGTGCTATAATGCTAGAACACAGAACCGAACAGAACTGGACCTGCTAAGCCTGCTGGAGGGCTAAATCGGACCACCTAGAAAGCTGAACCGGACCCCAAAAGCCTGCTAGAAGGCTGAACCAGACCCCAAAAGCCTGCTGGCAGGCTGAACCGGGCAGACTAGGTGCACTGGACCGATGAACTGAAGTGGAAGATGACTGAACCGGTCTAAACCGGTGCCAAACCTAACTGAACTGGGCCACAGGAGGTTACTGGACCGCTGAACCGGAGTCACCATTGACTGAACCGGTTTGAATCGGTCTAAGGCCAACTTGGACTGGGATGCACAGTGGACTGGGCCTGATCTGATTGGACCCGATCTGATTGGGTTAAAAAATAACTGGGTTTGAAATTGGGATCTGATTGGGTTTGGACTGTTTGAACCCCGGTTCAATTTGACTGACCCGCAACCGACCCGATGGACCTTGTCTTCTTCACCTGACTAGGGTTTCAAAAGAAACCCTCGATCGTCGTAACACCACCACAGCAACCACGCAGAAGCCACCATCGTCGACAATCGACTCAGTAGTCATACCATAGTGTCACACCACCACGATCGACAAACCTAGCAGCCACACCACCACGATCGACTCAGACACCTAAGTCGACAACGCCTCACAGCCAAAATCTGCACCACAGACGCAGTACCACCACCACCACAATGTATTACAACCATTGTGTAACACCACCACAACGCCGGAACTCTAACAACAACACCTCAACAGTAACGTTACCAAGCCAAGATAATTTCCACAAAAACAAACACAGGCTAATATTTGTATTTAGAATCATATTGCTCTGATACCATGTTAAGTGTAAAGGATTAACACAATATATTGAAGAGGAACAGAGAGAGGTCAAAAGTTTGACCTAGTTCTCATATTATCATTGTATTTATAGTTAACTTACAATAATAATAAGAATTACACATACTACCCTACCATTATTAATAATTTACACAGACTACCCTAATACTTTTAACAACATCGAATAGTCCCAAACAGTCAACTGAGAGAGAGATTACTTGAGAGGCTGGGACTCAAAGAGACCAGAGAGCACTTAGAGCAAAGAGGCAAGAGAGGGTGAGCTACTGAGCTAGTCAAAGGGTGTTCAAAGAGAGGACGAGAGAGAGGCTAGCCGACAAGAGAGGTAAGAGAAGCGAGACAAATGAGGAGGTGACGAGACATTAGGGACTTAGGGTTTTTAGTTTATATATATGCAGTTAGGGTAGGATAAAAATATGAAAATTTGATGGGTATTCTGCATTCCTATCCGATTTAATCGAAAGACTAAAAAATCTTCCACATTTCTACCCGATATTTTCGATTAACCGATCAATAGGGTCTGGTAGGGTAAGAAATTGCAGGTAATCGAAAATTTGAATACCCCTTTAGCAACAAATCCTTGCAAACAAACTAAATAAATATTAGTTTTGATTACTTTAATTAGTAACTTCACTTTGTCAATACACCATATGATGATATGACATATACTTTTTTAAACTAAAAAAAAATTGCTAATTTGGTTTGTAATGTTAAAAAATTACCAAATATATATTTATTAAGTCGGCAAATAATAGTAAAAATATGAAATATATTTTATTATAGATGTATCCTGGTCGTGTTCGTTTCCTATTTTTTTACATTTTATTGTATCGCCGTCCGTATCGTATCGTTTCTGTATCTCGTATACGTGCTTCATAGTTTAAAACTAAACAATCTTATCACAGTGTTATTTCCAAAGCCATAAAACTTTAACACAAGCTATGTAAATTTGCAAAGAACCAACAGAGGTTCAGTGTGGTACAGCATGCCATAGAGCACAACAACTGGTATTTCTTGCCCAGTTTGTATATGTCTTTCCAAATGGTAGAGAGAATCACACATCATCACTAAAATGGTGTGTTCACACATCTCCAGTAAAGAGATAACCCCAAAGTTTAGCTCAATCATGGCACACAAGACAGTTTGATGGAAAGTAGTAAGTACCCGATCTTAAGCCAGTTTCTTTACAGAAAGGAAGGTACACAGCAAAACACACTGCAAAGGGGAAAAGCAAAATAATGCATGCACACATGCAGGCTTTTCCATGTGAAATATATCTGCAACAATAGACCATAAGGTCATAGAATGCCACGATTACATCTATAGTTACCTGCAAGTGAAGAACATCTGCTAGGGGCATCTTTTTCATGTGAGGGATGGTTAGAAGTTGAGATGGGGTTTGTCCAAAGTAAGCAATCTGATCTTGTGTAGCACGTTGTTGTACCTGTCGGTGATTTTAGGGGTACATAAGTAAACAGCAATCCTGTATTGAACATCCAAAATTATCAAAGGAAAGCAAACCCACGGGATCCAAAATTTTGTCAATGTCCACAGTTCCTTCATAAGTGATGTAAAAGAAGACATTATTTGCTGATATAGCTTCCCTTCCTCGTTGCTTATACCTGAAAAAAATTCCAAATCACCCACGTAGAGACTTTTAAACAAAATGTGCCACAGCTACAAATGACAATTAATTTTACATTTCCCTTATACTGCAATATAAGAAACAATGTTAGAAATTTAATTTTACATTTACCCTTGCATTTAGCAGCAAACGGAGAAATAATATTAAAATAAAGAAGATCATAAAAGCACGATGAGCCCTTTGAAATTCTAGTAAACCTACCCGAATATGAGATCAATCCATTCATGCAAATGTTCTGAAACATGCTCACTTTCAAGGGCCATCCGATGCTTATGGATAAAATCAACTGGGTTTTCAGCCCAAGGAGGAAGCTGGACTAAATCTGGAATTGTGAATAGACAAAAGGAAAATGTATGAAAGATATGAACATTTAAAAATAGACTCAATGAGAACACAGCTCTACGTGTGAATAGTTAAAAGAGCATACCAAGCTTTTCTCCTAGTTGCGTTGTGCCAAAGTCAATTGAGTTTTCATTGCTCAACACCTCAGGAAGATAAAATAGTTCAGGAACCTAGGATATGTAGGGAAAACAAATAAAACCACCAACAATATAATAATATAATATAAACACGAAAAAACTAAAATCCGTAATAAATTTCAGCAACTGATGCACATGTAGAGGAGGGCAGACACCAGTCACTCAGACAACCAATCAAAGACATCCAATAAACAAGCAATGGTGAAACTAGTTCAAGGAAAATACATCTGCGGTAAAGGATCATAATAAATTTATACCAATTCCTTTACATCACTCATGTCCTCAAGAACTCCATCCCAGGTTGCAGCAATATCTGAAAACATTCTGTCTGCATGATCAAATTTGCCACCTTGGAGCTGAATTGAAAGAGTAGTAAACGGCTCCACTCTAACGAGATAATACAACACCTGTAAAAATAGCACCACCATCACAAAGCATTGGAATTAACAGATTCACATTACAGATGCACACAAATGATATCAACTGAACATTAGACAAGAAACATAGTGACAGAAAGACAGGCTTGGAGCCATTTTAGAAATCATAACACAGCCAGAAAGAAACAGAAATAGGTTACAGGTAAAATTTGGTTCTATTTATCCATGTAAGTAAAGCTTCACATAACCAACGCAATGTTTGCAGACATCTAGCTGACTTAACTGAAAATGCAACAAAAAATTTCTGACATTCCAAAAGATGGAAAGGGAGCCATGTTACAGGAATTGAAAAGCCTTCTTTTTTTATAATATGTATTGCATAACTAACATTAAAAAAAAAGGAGCTAGGAAAACCTACTGTTCCAGCTGTTGAATAATGTGAACCATAGTGGAATTTGGGGATGACTGGATCATCAAAGCTCGAGTATCTCTCTTGGAATTTCTTTAGCCGATCTGCATTCAGTGCACCAATGGGCTGCAAGCATACATATAACATATCATCATATCCCAGCTGAAAGAAGCAGCTCTAGTACTTTGAGAAGCAAAATTCAAATTAAGCCACCTTTGAAAGATCACGATAGGAAGAAGGATTCGCAAGATCCAAGGTCTTTGAATTGTAATCAGAAAGAATCCATGGGAAAACAGGATACTGCACAAGAAAGCGACTTAGTAAGAGACAAACAGAAATCCTCTTTGTCAGACGAAAGAGCAACTACGCCCAGCCAGGAAGATCAACCTGAGTGATGTCATTATAACTACGCCCAGCCAGTGTATTAAGCTGCATTAGATACTCAAAATTGCTGATCTGCAAAATATATGCACAGTAATTAAGCAATTTGACGAATTCAAAAACACGAAAAGATAGAAGTGATAGAATTCAAACTAAAGTTGCATATATCATATGAATATGCATCCAAGGTCCTTGTTTAATCATACCTCCCACCTAGCCCAACGTTCCATGAGTTGAGTTCTCTTCAGAAGTTGTTCAGGTCTCTAAAACAAAAAGTAATTAGGCAGTTTGCAAGAGTTAGAAAAAAAAAGCATACTTTATTCAAATCCAAGAGTTTGTGCGTGTGGTTTTTTTCATATGTGCAGGCATGCACGTATATGCGTATCAAAAAAAAAATTAATGGCATGCTTATGTGACTGTTTATTAAAACAGCGGTGAGTGTAGAAGACATGATTAATCTACAGCAAGGTAATGGACCTGAGTTGCCAGGTAAATATTGTTCAAATGAGGAGGACGTGCTTGAACAATAGCGCGGTATGCATTTCTTCTACCTGCAGTACTCTGGAGCAAAAAACCAACACAACATAACAAATTAACTAGATGGCAATCATAAGCTTAGTAATATAAGCAAACAAAAAGGGCATGCTTCAAAAAGTAATACCCCAAAATCAAAGAAGAAATTTGACCGGTCAACCATAAACAATTCCAGTGCACTTCTTCTAAGCAGATATCTGGAACAACAGTGAAACCATGAATTAGGCTTTGCAAAAGAAATGAAGTAATAGTAATGACTATCAGAAAAAGGAAGAAAATAAACCAAAAGAGAATCAATTGAATGATTAACATGGGCATGGATACAGCAGTGGAAAAATGAACAAGTCAATAGTCTTCTATAGAGTAGAAATGAAAAGAAAATTACAAGAATATGAAAAAATAACAAAACTGTAGGTCATTCATCAATATCAAATTTACAGCGGCTATCTTGCAAAAGGTTATAAACAGAAAGGAAAACTGAGACAAGGCATGAGGGAAAACCCAAGTCTCCTTGGAAACATCATGTGGATTTGGAGGAGATAACGGCAGTTAACTGTGTCCTATAGCATAATGGTAAATCTTAGTTATTGTCTTAATGTCTTGTGGTGTTGGACTGTGATAAGGACTTTGTCAAAGTTTCCGTTCAATAAATGGTTCTTTGTAAATTGGGATCAAACATGTGGTAGGGAGTAGGATTACCGATGACAAATAGTCTTTAGGGGTATTTTTGATATTTTACAATAATCCATGCATCCAAACACTATTACTCTCTATATATACATCATTAAACTTGAACCCAAACATACACCTTCTTGTTCATTTCTTTTTTTATTTCTCTCTCTGTCCACTTCGTCTCTGCACCCCCTCCCCCTGAACCCACACATCCCTCTCCACCAAAGCACACACACAACACAGTAAAAGTCTTAAGCTTGGTTGACAAGGAGATTTTAGATGATGCATAGCTTGATTTCCAGGGACCTTCATGGACATTGGATTTTGATTATGAATTGGGTATTGGATTTTTAATTGTGAATCTCCCTAATTATGTTTCTTCTCTCTCGAATCTCTGCTTCATCCTCTAAAATTGGTGTGTGTAATGGAGAATCAGTGTTGTATCGTTGTTGGTGCAGGTAACAATGGTAGGGTTAGGGCATACGTTGGTAGTTGGCTTACTGGTAACAGGGGAGGAGAAAGGAGGTTGTGTTACTTATTAGGCCAAGTCAAGGGCGGAGCTAGGATTATGTCCTAGTTGGGGCAAAATATAAATGAAAGATTAATCAATTGGTATAAAAAAAATTTCCCCCATCTCAAGTAATAAAGATTAAATTGCCCATAAATTTTGCACAATTTTTTTTCAAGTTCAGCTATGAGAAATATATTAAGATCCAAACCATAATTGCCATACAAAAATTGAAACCCAATTCAATTCAGCATTTAACAAAATATGAACAAACAAGAACAATAATTTTTTTAGTGGCACACTTCAACTCAATCATATATTAAAGAGAAACACAATGATATTATTTAAAATCTCATGAATCATCTAAAATTAATCAATTCTATGATAAATTTCTAAGCAATTTCATTTTAACCTTGTTGAGAAATTGATATTTGTAAAAAGGTTACGTTGTTTCAAATCTCAAGAATATCTATAATTAATCAATTCTATAATAATTTTGTAAGTATTTTTTTCAATCTTGTTGAGAAATTAATATTTTTGGAATGGCAAAAATGTTTTTGGGTTAGCATAACTTATCATATATATCAATACTGTTTGGTCAAGGCTATCTAGAGTTGTGGCTAGGCTGAGGCCTACCCTTAAGCCCGTATCTTCCGGGTGTCATCGTCCAACTATTAAGGAAGCAGATGAAACCACAAGATTCAAAATGATATCCAGACGAACTTTTTTCTTGTTAGTTGTTGGAACGACACGAGTAGGATTTGGTCTCGATTTAGAAAGATAAAAGGCCAAAAAGTATAAATAAGGGGTTACAAATTCCCCATCTCATTGGGGGCGAAAACGAATTGACATCTCGATGTAATACAACATTTCTATTTTAGTTGGGAAAGAACGGTGAAGTCCATCCAAGCCATCCAATGAAGAATAAAAGGAGAGCAATGCGCTAAAGGCGAGCGTTTCAACATCAACGATCTTTGGCGCTTACGGGAGGCTACGATGCTTGGGATCAATATCTAGTGGGTTTTTCAAAAAGATTTTTGATCCAT